CCCAAATCATCGCAAGTACCTTCGATTCATTTTTCAGAACAACATTTACCAATTTCTAGCCCTCCCATTCGGGTTCTTGACAGCTCCAAGAACATTTACGAAATGCATGGTGCCAGTTGGTGCTTACCTACGTCTGAACAAAATTCAAGACTATCCTTACATGGACGATAGGCTTGTGGTATCCCCGTCGAGACACAAGGCTCTGAAAGACACAAAATTTATATTCCATGTTTTGCAAAGAACCTTGGCCTCTCAATCAATGTCAAGAAGTCACATCTCAGGCCATCACAGATAGTGAACTACATAGGAGCCACTCTAGATGCCACCAAGGGTTGGATCTTTCTACCACAGGAAAGAATAATGAAAATTCAAAAGGCCATCAGGAAATTCCAACCAAGAGCACGTGTAACGGCAAAACATGCACAACATCTGTTAGGCCTCATGGCATCCACAACCCCGGGACTTGCTCATGCCCGTTTGAAGATGAGATCTCTCCAAATTTGGCTTTTGACACTCTTCAACCCTATGACAGATCACCAAATGAAGCGTCTCCGGGTGACACCAGAACTAGCAAAACAGCTCCAGTGGTGGAACTTCTCTGCCCACTTAACGATCGGGTGCCCTTTCAGGCCTCTCCAACTCACTGTTCAAGTGACAACCGACACGAGTCCAACAGTTGGGGAGGGCGCATTGCGGTCAACACAGAGTGCATGCTCTTTGGACCATGCAGGAAAGAAACCTCCATATCAACCACCTAGAGATCATAGCGGTGATGAAAGTGTTCAGAGCGTTCCTTCCCTTGATACAGGGTCGTGGTGTTCAAGTGGTCACAGACAACACCACAACCATGTACTATATCAACAAACAAGGAGGGACATGATCCAGATCACTTCTGTTACTGGCTGTGCATCTCTGGGAGTGGTGTTACCAACATCATGTCCTTTCTGTGGCAATACATGTCTCCACGTCAGAGAATGTACTAGCAGACGAGCTGAGTTGGTTGACAAGTCAAACTCACGAGTGGGAGTTGAACAACAATGTATTCAACACTCTGTGTCATCAATGGGGAACTCCCTCAGTGGACATATTTGCCTCTCACCACAACAAGAAGTGCGCCCTGTATGCTTTGAGAGCCGGACATGGCATAGACTCGCTCGGGGATGCCTTCATGATACCTTGGACATTCAGTCTACTGTATCTCTTTCCCCCACTTCCGTTGATACAAAGGACCTTGATAAGGATCCATTAGGAGAGGGTGGAAGCAATACTTGTTGCTCCTTTCTGGCCTCATCAAGCTTGGTTTCCCACGCTGTTGATGATGGCATCTGACTTCCTCTTGACCCAGGACTCAGGTAAGGTATAGCATCCGGAAACAGAGACATTACACTAACGTGGAGGATTTCCCCAAGACCAAGGAAGTTCTAGATGAGGCCAGAAAGCCTTCCACATCTCTTCTTTACAGTTATAAATGGAATAACTTCCTGAAATTTACTCAGTCTCAACACTTAGTCTCCTCACCTGTCTCCCTGTCTACCTTACTGCAATACCTACGATACCTATTTGACCGAAATTTGACCATCTCTACCATAAAGGTGTACATTGCCGCAATTGTATCCTTTCAACCGTGAAATTCTGACTCATCTCAACTGTTTTCTCACCCTACACTGAAGGCTTTTCTCAAAGGCCTCAATAACTTAAGGCCACCTGTTAAGCCATCAATTCCGCAGTGGTCATTGCGCCTGGTGTTACATGCCCTTATGCACCCTTTGAACCTATGGCTACCTATGATCTCCGACTGTTGTCCTTTAAGTCTCTATTTTTGGTAGTCATCACATCAGCTAGATGGGCGAGTGAACTGGCTGCCCTTAGGTCTGACCAGCCCTTCTTACAATTTTATAAGGACAAAGTTGTGTTGCTCCCAAATGTTTCATTCTTACCTAAGATAGTCACGGACTTTCACATCAGTCAACCTTTGTTACTCCCAACTATTTTCTCTGATCCTTTGACAGACACTGAGCACATGCTCCATACCCTTGATGTACGACATGCACTAGCGTTCTATGTATCTCGGACTAAAGAGTTCGTGTGTTTTTATGGACGGAAGAAAGGCCTTTCTGCCTCATCGTCAACGCTGTCCAGATGGCTTGTCTCCACCATTTTTTAGCCTATGACCTTCAACATAAGATTCCACCTGAAGGCCTTAAGGCTCACTCCACCAGAGCCATGGCTTCATCAACAGCCCAACTACATAGTGTTGATGTACCTGACATGTGCAGGACTGCCACTTGGTCTAATGTCTCGACCTTCATCACTCACTACAGAGTGCGAGCAAACACTGGTTCGAAAACACACGTGTAAGCCTGGACAGAGAGCAATCAGGAGTTTGCACACGCTAAAATGGGCTGAGTGAGTCCAAACTCAGCTAGCCATGCTACAACACTCCATCTTACAAGTCTGCCCACATAAGAACACCCTTGTACTCTCAGATATTACTGTGAAAAGATCAAGTGGGCTTTGTAGTCCTTAGACTTAACTTGCACCACTGGCTGGACTCCTTAAGTATGCTAGGCCGAGGCAGCACTCTCAGATGACCCTAAGACAAGTGTACTGTTCAGAAAACCAATTGAGTTTTATAATCTTTAATTTATTAAAGAATAAGCATGTTACTAGGTATCAAAATCAAACTAAGTTAAGGCAAGTAAATAAGCATTGTGTTAGTTATTTACAACTCTGTAGTGAGGCAAAGAAAACATGAAAAATAGAAAAGTGTTCAAAAACCTTACAAAAACACAAAAAGCCATTAAAAAGAATAAAAACAGTTCCAGTCCAGTAATTCATTAGTAAAAACAAAATAATCCAAGTAGGTTATAAAAAGGCTATAGTCCTCAGTGATCCTGTAGAACAAGAATCCTGTACTAAAAAGAAAAATTCAGTAAAAGTCCCATTGTCCTTAGAAAAGTCCAAGAGTATAGTCCATATGAAGCATTTCAAGAAAAGAAGTCCATAAAGGATATTCCATAGGCAACAGTCCATAGGAAATAGTCCATGCATAGTCCTTAGGAAAAAGCCCATAAGTCCAAGGGTAATCCAGTATAGTAAAGGTTAGTCCCATGTGTCACGAATGAATGAAGAGTCGGTCTTGAATGACAATGTCCATAGGCAAAAAGTTCCTTTTTCAAGAGTAACTGGCAAGGGCTTATCACACCTTCCCACGATGTCATCCAATCAGAGTTCGTTACTAGGCAAACAGTCCTGTTGCACCACATGACTTCTTTCCCATACACACCAGATGTTATTTGGGTTTACTGTGGTTTCGCAAAAAAGTCACAACAATTCCCATCTAATCACACCGTGTCCTTTTCTCAGGCTATCCGAATAACATTCTCTCTGCTTGCCTAGAAAACAACCTGTCTGCATAGCATAGATACTTTATACAAAGAAACAAGATGGAACCTCTCTTGCTCATTTCTTAATTACCAACCCCATATTTCTTACAAGACTTGAACTCAAAAACCCATCTCATCACACAGACTAGACCTGAGGGCTAAGAAAGAGACAAGTTTCGGGAGAGCAGTGTTGACATCCGTCCTCCAGTGATGGCCCTCCTACCGGTAAGCGAGCGTGCTAGTCACCCTTTTGTGTGCATTCACAGAGGCCACGATGAAGAAAGACAGGTTACTTACCTGTAACCATGGTTCTTCAAGTGGACCTCTGTGAATTCACACAATCCCACCCGGCCTCACCACTATCCGTCACTGGTAATGTCTGGCTCATGCTCAGGTTAGTGTGGCGGATAAATGGAACTGAGGCTTTGGTGGGCGGAGCATGCGCAGTAGGGGCAAGCTAAACATTGTTACTTTTCTAAGCTCAAAAATATTCCGAGAGGTCCAGCCCAGGCGCTGACTTAACCCTTTTGTGTGAATTCACAGAGGTCCACTTGAAGAACCATGGTTACAGGTAAGTAACTTGTCTTTTCTAGATCTTTTACTATCCTGCTTACCATCCTCTGAAGACATTTTAGCTTGGCAAGATCCTTTCTAGTCTTTTGTGCCCAGAACTAGGCATAGTATTCCAAATGAATTATGCTCAGAACAGAGTGATAGTATTATTTCTTTTGATCTTAACACTATAATTCTGTTGATGCAACTAAATACTTTTTCCCTCTTCTGCATTACACTTTTCCCATCCATGGAAAAGAAGTGTATAAGATCATTTAGCTGTACATTGGCTGAGTTCTTCCAACTTGGAGCTGTAATAGAGCAGAGCTCCAAATTATCAGTACAGTGGTGCCTCGCATTACGACGTTAATTCGTTCCAGCAAAATCGCTGTAAAATGAAAACATCATAATGCGATTTTAAAAGCCCATAGAAACGCATTAAAACGCGATTAATGCGTTCCTAGGGGCTTCAAACTCACTGTCCAGCGAAGATCCTCCATAGCGTGGCCATTTTCGCTGCCTGTGCAGTGAGGAATTCGCCCCAGAAAACAGCGGGTGGCCATTTTGTTTACCCGGCAGCCATTTTGAAACTGCCGATCAGCTGTTAAAAAATCATTGCCAAGCGAAATTCCCCCATAGGGAACATTGTTTTGCGATCATTTTTGCGATCACAAAAAGTTCATTGTAAAGCAATGTCATCGTCAAACGGAGCACCCGTCTTGCGGGGCACCACTGTACTTTGCAAAGCTTGCAGAGAGCCAACAAAAAGGGGGGGTTTGAAATCTTGTCCTGACTGAAGAACTAAACTCTCTGACAATTGCATTTTCATCTTTTTATAACTATGCCATTATGCTTAAAAATGTGAGTTAAAAAATGTGACCTCTGTTGATTTACAGAACTTCTTGCCATTCTCCACATTGAAAGCAGAATTATGCTAATAATAATAATCTTAATCTTAGAACTGGAGCCAGCCCTCAACTCTATACATTGCAGCATGTGCTAGCAGTGCAAGGATTGACAAATCACCACACCAATATAGTCTTTTCTGCTCTGTGTTTCCAGGAAATCGATGGCAAAGCTTTGCTTTTATTGCGCAGTGACATGATGATGAAGTACATGGGCTTGAAGCTGGGGCCAGCACTGAAGCTCACCTATCATATTGACAAGTTGAAACAGGGCAAGTTCTGAAGAGGAGACAAATTCTCCTGGTGTAGTCTTGACCAAAGTGGTGGTCCCAGCTGCCCACACCGGCAGATAACTCATACCTACATTCCCCAGCCACCTTATTGCAATTGATAAGGACACTGTCTTTGCCAACACAGAAGAGGTGTCCTGGAGGAAAACCCTGCACACCCCAGACCAGGAACCGAAAATCAAAGACTTTTTGCTACAAAGGATCGGATTTTTCTTCTGCTGTTTGATAGCAGAGTTTGGGACCACAATCCACTTTACTAAATTGCTCTTTGTGTGCATGGAGCTCTGGCCCAGCTACACCAGAGTCTCCCACTGGACTCTTTGACCCTTCTTTTTCAGATGCACTGAGTTCTTTTACTGTCCTCAAGAATCTTCTTCATGTTGCATTGAGTACTTTTTGGACTCAAATTGGGCAATGACAGGTGGCGATGTTCCTTTTTCTGTGCCATATGGAAATTACTGCAGAGAATCAGCTCTGGCCTAAGACAAACAGCTGCCGCTAACCATATTGTTCACTCCCTTAGGGTGGGTTGGATTATGGCCAGGAAAACTTCCTTAGACCTCCCATGCGGGTATAGATATCTCTTTTCACCTCCATGGAGGTCTCAAGCTAGCAGTTTCCATTTGTTGCTGCCATAAGGGCAGAAAAATGTTAATATTTATTTGGAGTAAGGGGAGAGAAATTATAAAGCATACAGCACTAAATTTGCGTTAGTATCACCATCATCCACTGTTCTATCTCTATAAGTAAGCTGGAAGGAATGAGGAGGATCCTTTACCTAAGTGTCAGATCAGACAACTGAACATCCCATCCCTCCTCCTTGAGTCTGAAATGTTTTTCTACTTGCTGTTGAAATGGCAACTGTTTTAACTTTTTTTTCTGGGGAATTAAATATTTCTTATTCAGTGATGGTACCATTTAACTTTCCCCTCCAGTTCTTGCTGTACCTACCTGGTAGGTATATAGGATGTTGACTTGATGAGAAAAAGAGTTTAGAATGGTTTGTTCTTCTTCCAACTCAAGTGGTGGAACATGATTTGCTTTGGTTGTATGTAATCTGGAAAATGTTTACTGTATTTATTTTTACAGCACTTCATCAGTGTCCTCATAGTTGAGGGCTGGTGTTGCTGGCAGAATGAAACATAGGAAAAAAACAGCAACAAGCTGATGCCCTAAAACTATCCTCCTGTTGAGATCCATGACTTAAGTCTTCTTTGTTTCCAGAAAGCAAAAGAGGTGGTGGTTTCTTCCACCACTTCCAGAATAAAGTAAACAACAAAAAAGTATGCTGCTTATATACTGTCCCATACTGCTTAAAGCACACTCTGAGTGGTGTACGTTTTAATGAAAAAGGCTAAACATTGACCCCCCTAGTGGGCTCAGTACTCATTTTACCATCATTCGAAAGATGGAAGCCTGCGTGAATCTCGAGCCATCTTCCAGTATTTGCTGGGATTGAGTTCTAACCATCAGCAGGGTTTTAACTGTAATACTAGTTTAACTACTGTGCCACATTGGGCAGGCGGGCGGGCAGGTAGGCAGGAAGGAGGTCTAGGTAAAAGGGAGGAGGAAGGGGAGGAAGGGGAGCTCAGGAAGGAAGGAAGGAGCTGATGCTGCACGGAAGGGAGGAAAGGGGGAGGTGGTGCTAGATGGAAGGAAGGAGGGGAGGGAAGGAAGGAAAGAAGAAGTTGCGGGAGGGAGGGAGAGAGGGAACTGATGCTGAATAGAAGAAATGCAGGAATTTACGAACTCATGGAAAAGGAAGGAAGGAGCTGATTCTGGATGGAGAAAGCAGAGAGGGAAGGAGGAGTTGCACAGGAGAAAGGGAGGAGATGAAGGAAGGAGCTGATACTGAACCAAATGAAGGATGGATCTCATTCTGGATGATAGTAAGGAAGAGAGAAAGGAAGGGAGGAGCTGATGCTGATTCTGTATGGAAGGAAGGGAGGGGGAGGAGCTGATGCTGATGCTGCATGGAAGAAAGGATGTTGCATGAGAGGAGCTCCAATCTACATCGTGGTCATTTCATCACCACCAGCTCTCTGGCTCTACTTTGTAGGAGAAGACATGTAAGACCGATAATGTCAATGACCTTTCCATTCCAAAGATCAACCAGGGATTCAAAGGAATCACCCACCAGGTTGAGAGGAAATGCCCCAAGAGCAACCAGGAAACCATTTGGATCCATCAATTGTCTTGGGTGAACTGTCTTAGTCTGACCCCCACCCCACCCCTGCAATAGCTCTGCATTTGAGTGAGTACAAATCACACCGGATAATGTTCTGTCTAAGGCAGTGGAACTACAGAAAGTTCTTCCACTTCCAGGTCACTGACATCTATGCTGTTATAGAGGATCAGGTCTAAGTGTGGCCTGCAGTAGGACACATATTATTTGGGACAGAACCATGGCCATCATGGAGGACATGAAGTCTTGAGCCACCCCTGGCAAAGCTGCCATGGCATGGACATGGCAGTCACCCAGCATAACAAGCTCAGGGGAGTCCAACACCACCCCTGATACCAGTTCACTTAGCTCTGGAAGAGAGGCTGTCGCACCACAGCTTGTTACACAAAGAGGATCCTTATTCCGTTCTTGGCTTCTACTTTCAGAAGCATATATTCAAACTTGGGAAATTGCAAAGTAAATCCTGGTGGACAAAAGCACAGTGAAATTCACACCATCAGCCATATGCAACCAAATCTATGTAATGCAAGCGAAGTCAGCATGCTTATACAGTATCAGGGTGACTGTTGTTTTCCCATTAACAGCAGCACTTTCAGCTCAGGAATCCTATCACCAAGGCTATCCAAACAATTTAATTTTGAGGGTAGCTTAGGGGCAACCAATAACTTCGTGTTCTTACAGTGTCATAATTCTGCCGAAAAAAGAGAGGTCTTGGCTTCTCTGATCCTATTCTGCTATATTCGCACAGGAAATTTGATAAGTTGGGTGGAAACTGATCTACAGCTTATCATGCATCGGCTCTATTGCTTTTGTTTTGGAGGATTGCTGTCATTGGGGTAATCCTCGAAAGGTGACTTCCTCTATCTTGCACAGTTCTAGGTCATAAGATGTAACTGACAGATGTGAGTTAATGCCCCTTGTTCACTATCACAACTGGTTCCAGAGTTATTCAATTTAGGTAATTGTCCTCAGGTTTCATATGCAGGCCACTAGGGGGTTGACGTAGGCTCGTTGTCCTCTCTTTAGCTCTCATTAAGTCTTTTAACACCAGGCATTCTAAACGGTTTATAACCCTTTTCCACATCACAGTACCTGCCCGTGGCCTTGGCAGGACCAGGCTGCAGAGATCTTCCAACCTCCTGCATGCACTCCCCCCACATACAGCCCACCTCCTGCATGCATGGGTGCCCCACCCACCCACACATGCACACATGGGTGCCCCTCCCACCTATGAGTGCATGCCACCCATGTATGCGTGCACATGAGTGCCCCTGCCCACCCATGAGCGCACCCTGACCACCCACATGGGGGGTACCCACCACAGATCCCACCCACCCCAACCAGTTCACGGTTTAGAAAAGTTTGGGGACCACTGGTTTATAAGATGATAATCCTATAAGGAGCCAAAGGAGGACAATAGGTTAATTTCAAGCTCTTCTTCTGGCCATCTGTTTTTTGTAGTGCCTCTGTTTGTCAGGGTTTATAGGAGACAGTTGTCTTGTGGGAAGTGAATAAGGTCTTTGTGTTGGCTGCCTTCATGGAAGGAGTCAGGTTAACTGGGGTGAGTTGATCCAATACACTTCAGATGGTTATGAAGTTCACTTTCACCTTTGTGAGGTGACTTGTGAAGCCTTTTTCAAGATCTTACATTTCAGATACGTATAAGAGTGTTGTTGTGGTGCTGCCCCAGCCTCCCTAAGGAGCGCTTAGCACTCGGTCAGAGAGTTCAACAGGCCCCTTACCTACCGCCTTTGTGCTGAGGCAAGTCCCAAGACCTCAGCATTGCATAGTATAAGCCCTTTGAACAAGTCTGACTTTAAAAGAACACTTTGCCTTTACCTAGTACTTTGCAAGTACAGTCACATGGGCTTTGTGATTCCTTAGAACTCACAACAGCTCAGTTAGGTGGGACTCTTAAAAATAGGTAGTTTGTGGCCCTCTCCACTCCCTGGATTTAGCCAGACCCTGATGTTCAAGAGACCAGTCCTTTTGTAAGAATTATTATTATTTTTTATTAGAAAAATAGAGTTTCATGAAATCCGTTTATATTGCTGAAGCTTTAGCATAAAGAACATACTCAAAGATTATTACAGTTAAATAAAATAACTAATTCCCATTAAAATAAAAAAACACTACTAAGGTGGGCTAGCCCCACCTCCTTCTTTCTCTTTACTTACATTCTCTCTCCTTCAAGCCACATGCTCAAACCATCAAGTTCTTTCTCTCTCCCATCATCATGGATCGAACCTCTCCCATATAATCCATTGTACATTTTCTACATTTTCTTAACTCCTCCCTTCTTCTTGACTCTTCATATCTGTTAACCAATTAGCCTCAAGGGGCTGTAACACCTTCCTACACCCTCAATTCCCATGAAAATCCAAGTGATTTATCACTTCTCCAATTAGGTCAGAATGTTGAGTCTTCCACGGGGCTCTTTGTCCAACTTTGACCTTTATCTCGAACCACACTGTATAGGTGTTCAGAAAAACGCTCTCATAGCAGATAGAAAAACACATTCCAATGCCTCTCAAATCATCTTTACACAGAACCTGTATAACTCCATCTTACATTTCTCTGACTACATATCCCACACTGTTTCAACTCCATCACAGTTGTTTTTCCTGATTCCTAATGTGTGGTTTCTGGAAGCATGCTTGAACATACACAAGGGGATTCGATTTGTACAGAAATGTAAAGAAAAACATAGTGAGTTGGACCCAATGATCTCAAGGTTTAGAAGATCAATGGATTCTGGTGCTGAATTAGTGAAGAATGCCAAGTGTCCCTTTCCACTCCTTTTTGAGGACCAGTCAATATGGTTGTGGGTTCCAGCTCTGGTTTGAAGGAGGACAGTGTTTATGCTGAGCTCCACTCCCTTTTCTTTTAACTTTCATTTTAATTCTTTAATCCTATATCTGAAATGTTCCCACTATCTCATTGTAAATGTTTTGCTGGAAGAGCAGCTTCCCATCTGTTCCAAGGTTGAAACAGCAAACAGTTGTGGGAGGAGAGAAACTGTAACTTGGTTGAGGTTTTTTTACTACATCTTACAGCTTTTCTTTGTTCAGCCTGGAGTGGAAGGAGGAAAGATTTACAATTCATGTGGATTTACAATTAGGAGCTGGAGAATTGCAACTGAATAATACTTATAATCAAAATTTTTACACCCAGAGTGGGAAACAAATGACACAGGTCCAGCCCAGGTCTTGCCATAGCCGTCAAACAACTTAAAATTGATGAGCTTTTAACAGCTAAGTGTCCAGTGAGTAATTTACCCAGTTCATTTTTAATGTCTTTAAAAACAGATTTGCTGCACTTGAAAACTATACACTTTCCCCAAGCCAAGAAAACAGTGACCTGTCGGCTGTGTCTACTCCACTATCCCCAAACAAAGTTTTAAACTCACAGAACTTCTTATCTAGCTTTTTGACTGACCAATATCTTTTAACAGCTCGAACCGTTATTGCAATCTTTGAACATCTGCAAATGGTATACAATAAAATGAACTCAGTAGAATGTGCCCTGGAAAACCTCACAAGGACTATCAATGGATCTTTATCACAGTCTATTATTCCATCCTATTTGAAGGCCTCTATTATTGTTCCACTGCCAAAGAAGAACTCTATTAACAATCTCAGTGATTATAGATCAGTGGCACTTATGTCTAACATCATTAAATGCTTTGAAAAGTTGGTACACAAGCGTATTATCTCTAGTCTTTCACTTAAAATGGATAAATATCAGTTTACATACAGAACTAACAGATCTACAGAGGATCCCATAGCTATTACTCTCCACACTGCCTTGACCCACCTAGAACAGTGAGGGACTTATGTGAGTATGCTTTTGTGGACTTTGGTTCAGAAATTAACACAATCCTTCCTTATAGATTGGTGTCCAAGCTCACAGAGCTTGGGTTTTCACATTCAATTTGTTCTTGGATTATGAATTTAATATCTAGCCATCCCCAGAGGGTTAGATTGGGGAATTACACCTCCTCAGCTCTCATTCTTAACACTGGAACACCACAAGGATGTATGTTGAGCCCTTTCCTTTACTTGTTGTATACATATGATTGCACACCCATGCATCAAAATA